GCTATTGTGAAAAGAAGGTGGTAGTGGTGATGGAGGATGGTGTACAGTGTGCTAGGAAACCAAAATAGATTACTACCTTTCTGAAAGGCAATTTAGAAATGTTTATCATGTTTTGCAAAAAATATTCATATTCATTAGAAACTATTTCACAGTATGTGGTGTATATATGTATTGGACTACCAGTAGTCCAATGATGCTAGAGAAGTAGTATTTTTAAGGAAAGACATTCAGGGCTGGGGATTTAGCTCAGTGGTTCCACTGCCTGCCTCAAAAACACAAAGACCCGAGTTCGATACCTGCTACCAAAAACAAAACAAAAAAAAGAAACGATGTTCAGTTATTCTCTATTTTGTTAGGAAATTTTGGTTTTTCAAAGAAGAGTTTTATATTTTATTAATATCTACTTGTGTTATATTAGTCACTTTTCTCATTACTGAGATAAAATACCCAACACCCAACCCAAAGTTAAAGGAGGAAGGGTTTATTTAGCTCACAATTTGTTGCAGTTTCAATCCATAGTCAGCTGGTTCCAAATCAGGGTGGCATGGCAGAGGGTCGTCGCAGAGGAGAAATAGTCCATGGCAAGCAGGCAGCCCAAGAGCACATTAGCCCTCTTTCTGTCCCTTATATTTTATGCAGGTTACCCACCCTAGGGCAGATGTAGCACTCGCACCTTAATCCTAGCCAGGACTATGCCAAACCAATCAGTGTACTGTGGGCAGGAATACCCTTGTGATTCAAGGGTCTTTGTGGCCTGAGAGACCTGAGTTCAAAATCCTTGGGTGGTAATAAAACCCAGATCTAATGTGACCTTGGGAAAATTATTTAATCTCTTTAAGTTTGTTTCTTTATTTGTAATACCATAAAGATATTACCTTTAAAAGGTTATTGAGGCTTAAATAACATTAAATATCTATTACAGATAATAATATGTATTACAGTGTGGAGGGAGTGTTTCGTAAACAGAAACTTTAATAAATAATTCTCCTTTAAACATTTATATATGGAGAACCTTACAGATGAGCATATGAGTGTACACCAAGGAAATTTAGTGGCAATCTTTAAATTGTAAAGGTGTTGGAATCAGTTTTTCTATAACAACAATATTAAAAATGATGGCTAGGATCCCATCTCACTGCTCAAATATCTAGTTAAGCTATACCATTTCTACTGAGCTTCGCTATAGGCAATGTTATTGGAAGTATAGGGAGGTTTCTGGAGCAACCAACGTCTAAAAATCTTCATATTATTTTTATGAGACAATGAGCTGAGAAGCTTAAGTGAAATCCCAGCATCATACTCTACCTATTTTGATCTTAGTTATGACAGTAGGGACTTCTCTTACTCCTGACTTCCTCCTCCCCTTGGGGGTTGGCAGTGGGTACTAAAGTCCATCTTGGTGGCTCCCATGGCAGAGGCTTTGTGAAGATATGGACTTAGATTGGTGATTTGGGTGGGGAGGAAGATAATGACAAGATTTCTGGAAATCAGAGATTGAGGAAGAGGCACAATTACGTCTCAGTCTGAGCTGGCTTCCTGGTGTAAAATACATGGAATGTTAATTTTTAAAGAAAGACTTTCATTTTTCAAAAACCAACCTTCCTCTTTTATTTCTTCTAAATTAAAGAAAAACAAAAGCACACAGCTTTTGAGCACTCAAAGGACAGACTAATACAGTTCAACTGCATTTCAGGGAACAGTCAGATATACCAATTCTTCTAGATTACCTGTGTTAAGAGGGATATTTGTAACCTTTGGGCAGAAGGGAGAGAGAGACTAAGGACCCAGGAGGAAGCAGGCAGTGTTGCCTTCTGGACCTGCAAGAAAGGGGCAAGGAAGGAGGTTGAGAAAATGTGTACACTTTACTTTCATTTCCTCCCTCTTACCTGACTAATCTTTCTACAACATTTCTACAGAGCAATGGCAAGGTTGTACAGAAGCCAAGAACATGCTATGATTGAACACAACTCAAAGTGAGTTGTGTACTGTTAGGCAATGGTATATGAGGAGCAACAGCTTGGGAGGCTAAATAAAATTACAGAGATGCCGCTGTTTTGGACTAAGTGCCTACACAGACCAGGCTAAAAATCAAAACGGAGTAATGTATTACTAACCTGAAACTAAGTTATTTATCTGGTTTTCTGAAAATCAGGATTAGAGAGATAATCAAATTTCCCAAATAGCTAGTGTTGGTATAGAGTATTTATACACAGAAATTGGAACCAAGGTAAATAAATAGCTTGACTGTTTGCTTTTTTTGAACATAGTCTTTTCAGGTGGCAGCCCGTGACTGACAAATTTCAGCTCATTTTAAGAAAATATGTCATTGTGCTAGGCTCTCAGTTTGTTTACATACTAAGTTACAGTGTAGTTCCTTATTAGGAAATCAAGGTATGGAGGTATTTTCAGGCCAAATTTAGTTTAATTTAAAATAAAGTAGTACAAGTATTTCCAATTAATAAGAGGCAAAAAAAACCCCACATTTGCTTTTTAGTGTCTACTCTAGTCCTATAGATTTTGTTTGTTCTTGTTTTGGTACTGTAGATCAAACTCAGGACTTTGCACATGCAAATAGTATCTCTAGTGTAAGAAACTGAAAGTGTAAATAAAGATTAAAATGTTTAAAACGAATAATTGATAATTTGAAATAGGAAGAAAAGGTCCAAAGGGGTAGGGGAAGGGGAAAGGAAAGAAGGGAAAGGAAAAATTATGAGAAAAGAAAAAAATGGAAAAAAGTCTGTGTAAATAGGGAAGGGTGGAGGGGGTGAAGGGCGCACAGGGAATGGGGAAAAAATAAGAACCAAGATACATCATGTACAGGTACAAGCACCCAATGATAAATGTAAATTTACTGTATACCTAAAATGTACCAATAAAAGAATTTAAGCAAAAAAGAAAAAAAACTTTCTATTTTTTTATAGATGAAGTAAATGAGTCTTAAAAGTTGACAGACTTTATATAAGGTCACACAGGTTGTTAATGCATGAATCAGGAATATTGCTCCAATTCAATTTTCTAACTACTAGCTAAGTTTGTTTCTTTTTTTTTTTGTACTGGGGATTGAACCCAGGACCTTCATACTGAGCTACATCCCCCCCACACCCCCTTTTTGAGACAGGGTCTCACTGTGTAGTTCAGGCTGGCCTCAAATTCGTGGTGTTCCTCCTGCCTCAAGATTACAGGCATGCACCACCATGCTCAGCTTCTTGCTCAGCCCTTTAAAATTTTTTGCTTTTTAAAATTTTGAGATAGTGTCTTACCAAGTCTCTAAATTTCCCAGAGTGGACTCAAACGTGCCATCAACCTGCCTCAGCCTCTTAAGAGTGCTGGCCAGGATTACAAGCCTGTGCCACCATGCCCTGCTTCAGTTTCTAATATTGTTACACTGAATGCCCTTCAAAACTAAAAACTGGGCAAAAGAGAAAGAGTAAACATGTCAAACTTGTGGGTCAGTCATTGAATTCATGAGGGACCTGCTTATGTACAGAAAACAATTCTGATTTAGGGTTTAAAGTAAAAAATTAGGACTGGGGGTATAGCTCAATGGCAAGAGTTCATGCTTAACAAGCCTGAGGTCCTAGGCTCAATTCCCAGGACCCCAAAATAAAATAAAATGTTAAAGTTTTAAAGCCATCTTAAGTAAAATTTGAAATAATAATTAAAAGACAAATTCAACTATAAATATGTTAGATCTCAATAAAATACCTTAAAAAAGACATATTAAGGCTTGTCCTTTATGAAGAGACTGAAAGAATGGATTCATTTTCATCTTTCAAGTAAAAGGGAGATGGCTCTTAAACTTGCTTTTTCAAAAGAAACTTAAAATTGCACGACAAAAATATATATTGCAAAAAACTTAAGGAAAAGAAAATAAATTACTCGTGCTCCCTCCCATCCAAGTATTAGTCTGAGTCCGTTTTACCGCAGTGGAGAATTCCCAATTACCTTCACTCATTTCTTACTGAATACCTCAACTGGTACTGCCAATATGCAACGCCTTTGAGACACCAAGAGGACACAGTCTGTCCGTAAGACTTACAATATACAGAGGAAGACGCACAGCTAATTTGTCAACAATAACAATCACAATACAATGAGTCACAATACAATGAGAGTAGACTTCTACAGTTGGCGGCTGACACTTTTCATTTTGGAATTCTTAAGTTCCTTTTCCAAAACGCTCAATACCGGGGTTGCGCGGTGTTATCATAAGCACTACTTCAAAACACACAGGAGTCCGAAGGCGCACACAGCGCCGCCGCCGCCGGGGGCGAACTCGAGATCGCGTTGGCTGGAGATCTCACGGGACCCAGAAGAGCGGTGTGTGCTGGGACTTGTAGTTCTCTTAGGACCACGGACTCTGCCTTTGAGTTCTGGCCCAGCAGATGAAGTCTTAACCCAGAGCATACCTGAATATATCTAGTCTTACTATAGGCTCTTCGTACTTCTGCTGAGCTCGCTCCGGTCTATGCTCAGACAGTGTTCTCCTTCACAATCCTTAGAGGTTGGCTCGTCTTCGGTCCTGGGCGGAGCCCTGGTGGAACGGAGTTTAGAATTGGTCAGTTTCTCAGTAGCAGAGGCGTTCCTAACTCTTTTGCTCTTTCGTAACTTGTAGCGAAGAGCGGGTCCGCCGCCGAAGCGTGCTGCCGCGGAAGGAGATCTCGCGATAATTGGACGCAGGGACGAGGACGTGTAGCGAGTGGCGGAGGGCTGCGGGGCGGCGGACTCCGGGGCCGGGAAGGGGCAGTTCGGTCAGCGGGCTGTGAGTGCTGCCTCCGCCGCTTAGGCTTGCCGGGCCCGCCGAGTGGCGGGTGAAAGTGTGCGAGGCGGCCCTCTTGGCGGTGTCGGCCAAGTCGCCGCACCTGGGCCTCCGGGTGACAGGTGCGCGGCGCTCCCCGCCGACCGCTCTCGGCCCGCCCTGCAGCTCGGGGTGCGTGGCTCCATGAGCGTCTCCGGCTCCTGCTCCGGGCTCCCGTCGCAGCCGCGGTCGCCGCGGAGGAGCGGCCGCCGGCCCTGAGGAAGCGGGACGCGGCCGGCGGCTGGGCATGAGCGGGACGCGGCGTCGGCGGCGGTGCTGAGCGGGCCGGCATGAACCTGCACCAGGTGCTGACCGGGGCCGTGAACCCCGGAGACCACTGCTTTTCGGTGGGCGGCGTCGGCGGCCGGCGCTTCACGGTGAGTGGAGTCGGCGGCCCAGAGCGGGAGGGGCACTGGCCGGGCGCCTCGCTGCCTCCAGGGCCGGCGGGCCTGGCTTTGGGGAGGAGAGGCACGGCGTCTGGGCCGAGCCTGGGATCAGAACGTCTTCAGGGTTAAAAAATGATATATATTAGTCTGACTTCCTTGGGCCGAGGTGGTTTGCCAAAGTGTTTTTGTCCAGAATGTTTGTTGAGTAATAAGTTGGGGGCATCATATTTTTCCTACTCCATAAGCCTAACTTGTCAAATGTAGAAATAGTTGGGATTGGTTTCATTTTTTAATCTGAGTTAGGGTCAGGTGTCTTTCTGGTTAAAAAGACTGTCTTAAAACAATCACTAGTTGTTTGCTATCAACATTAGTGCAGATTAAAAATACTGTATAGTGAAAACGTGCTCTTCGTTTTTCTTCAAATTCACTGAAGAATAACTTTGCAGAAAAACCCCGTATTTTTCAAATAATTGATATTTCTGGCTATTTACCTGTATAGTAGCATTTTCTGCCTTAACTACAGTATAGTTTATATAATAATTTCAAACTGCAAATCACTATCGTACATGATACGTTTTGTTTAAACTTGTAATGCTGATGATTTTGCTGCGACTTATGATTGAAAGTACAACTCAATTTTATATGCATGAAATAAAGTAGCTTAATAGATAATAGTGTTGTCTACCTTTGATTTTTTTTGTGGCCTTTGTCGGTTAGATTAAGCAATACTCAATGTTTAACTTGGTGTAGGCATTTAATACCTAAACTGTACTTTTAGAGTTGTGCCAACCAAGCACTTTGCTTTCAGAGAGAAACTGTGCCTTCTCTGCAAAGTGACACATGCACACCTTAGTTTACACTTGACACTATTTTAATTGTGCAGATTCTGATTCTAAATATTTACCTAACCTGAATATTGAGGGGAAGGGAGTGCTCTGAGAGTCTCAGTGAACAGCTGTAGTCATCCTATAGCTGAGTTTTGCTGTCCGTTCTTACTTAGAGGAAGGAAGTAACATCCTTAGGGGTTTTCCTAGTTGCAAGAGATTATAGGAGAGTAATCTTGCATCTTCTGGCATCTTCTTAAATTATTTGAGCACTTCGTCCAATGTAAATTCTAAGAATTTATAAAGAAGGCATTCAAACTTTATGTAGTTAGTGTTGTGGACCTCAAAGCACATACAGTATTATGGCCTGTTTATGTACCTGGTGCATTCCTCTACAAAACCTTGGTGAATTGCCTTTTTGCTATTTTTAAGGAGAGGTAACATAATGTGCCAAGGATTATATGGTCATCCTACACCATTATGTAGCTTGTTGCTCAGTTCTGTTTAAAGTCTGTTTCCTTAAAGCAGGGCCTCATTATCTCCCAGCAAGCCTAACTGCATACTGGTACCTTAAAGTGTGTGTGTGTGTTAAATATACTACATATATGTCATACATATATATTAATATACTACATACATACATATTAATTTTGGTAGTTCAGCGGTTATTAGTCATTTTTCCATTGCAGCCAGTCCATCCCTGACTTTTTAACATTAAGCTGATATTGTATACATCTTAAATTTAGCTTTTTTGAAATGGCCTTTTTTCTGTTTCTCAGGTTGAAAAACATAGTCTAGCAGAATCTGTTTTGGACTCCTTGAGTTTTGTTTTTGACCTCTTGAATTTTCCTCCTCTCTCTCCTCCCCACACTGGGGACGGAACCTAGAGCCTCGTGCGTGTTAGACAAGTGCTCTTCCACTGAGATATGTTCCCAGTCCAGATTTTGATTTCCTTTTTTCTTTGATAGGAAGATAGCAAAGGCTAATAGTTGATAGTATGTGAAGACTGAAAAATCTCTTTCAATTGCAGTTTCACCCTGGGAGGAGGAGGTAGGAATGTGAGACATTCCGCTTGCAGGTGCCCTTGAATAATTCTTATATCTCTTCTGGAACTTTGTGCTTCTCAGTCCTATATTTGTGATTCCTTCCATTACACATTTGCAAATTCACTTTTTCTTGCTTTGGAAGATTACAAGTAGAGATCCTATTTTCTGCATAAATCTGACAAATTTTAAATTGAAATGAAATTGAATGCCAGTTCTCATTTTTTAGATTTTAAAATAGGCAATTACCAATACATGTTAGTATATCTAAGTATTAGATTTTTTTTTAACTCCTTAAACTAGCATCAGATGTTTTGACTTTGCCCTTAGTTAGAAAGCTATTTGGCAGTGATCATGTCTCATACTTTCAAAGCACTTTATTCATGCTTTATTATGTCACTAAGCAGTCTTGCCTTCTGTTTTGTGTGTGTCTTCCAGGGCTTCATTGTGAGTGCCTAGACTATTGATTGAGTTGACCCATTATCTGTTCTTTCCAGCCTGGTCCTTTGTTGTTTGTTTATTTATGAGCAAGTTTTTTACAGTCTTTAAATTTTTTTCTCATTTGTAAAATGGGACTAATATAGTACCTACTCATAGGGTTGTTACATGAAATAGTGCTAAGCTCTAAGTTCATGACTTATATTTAAAAACATAATAGAAATGTTCAACTTGCCCTCTTCTTTAAAGTGTTACAATAAATAATATTAAAGTAAGTTTTGTTACTTATACACATTAGATATATATTTTATATGTGGCCAAAGACTGTTCCACTTCATTCAGTGTGGCTTAGGCAGGCCAAAATGTTGGAAACTCCTGCGCATATCAACTGTTACAAACTCAAAATTATGTTCATTCTAGTGCTGGAGACTAGAAAAGTGCATGGTAAATAATGATTAAATTGAGGAGTAGTGGATGAAGAAGACTTGCTGCAATACAATTAGTAACTTCCAGTGTTATAAAATAAATGGTATAATTTAGTTTTGAATACTAATAAAACTTTTTTGTTAAAATTCCTCTTGATTTTAAGTGAATTGACTTATCATCAACATTATATGAACAACTGTGGGAGATTTCAGTTACTCTAAACCAAAATTATTTTTTCTGTGGTTATTAGAATACTTTCTTAAATATTTTTTCTTGTTAGTTTCATAATGATTTTAAAGTCTAAGTATGTGAATGATCTGGTCTTGGTCCGCCGACAGCTTTTGTTCTTGTGAAGAAAATATTCTGTATATAAAACTAAGTTTAAAAAGGGTGCACGAGTGGGGAATTTAGCTCAGTGGTTCCGTCACCAGCCTTGCAAGTGCAAAGTCCCGAGTTCGATCCCTGGGACCAAAATAAATAAATAAATAAATAAATGGATGAATGCAGTTTAGTAGCAAGGTATGACTACATAAAACAAAGAGGTGCACCAGTGATTAGAATCTAGATTTACTAATATTTTTGTGCATACTGATAACAAAATATATGATAGTTTTTTTATTTTGTCTTTTTTTTTAACTTTTCATTTTGTAGTATACCCATACTTAGTATTAAAACTGTATTTTGAATTAAATGGAAAGAGTTAATTTACTAAAGACAAAGATTATGCTAATGTTTAGGATTTCTCTTCTCTTGATTTAGAGTTTCAACATCATAGCTATAGGAGGAAAGCAAATATGTTAACATCATAACTATAGGAAAGAAAACTCCCATTAATGTTAGACAGTTCAGCCTTTCTAGCTAAGGCGACCCAGATTAGAAATCAGAAGCTTGTGTGTAACTAAAGAAATGGGGACTGAATAAGCATTCTTCTTCCTCAACTTTCTGTGCTAGTAAGCATCTTTGAGTTTATCTCTGTTTTGTTGACTTTAGGGAAGCCTCATTGGGTCCTAGTGTGCTTGCTATATTGGCAGGATAGAAAAGTTTCTTCTTTTTTTCTCTTGAGGAAGACATAAGTTTTGTGGGTGGGGACAAGTTTTCTACTCTGCTCATCTAAAGAAAAATAAAATGTTTGTGTTTTTTATAAGGTTATAATGTAACCATTTGGGTGAGGGTTCTTTTGATAAATTGGGATCAAAATCATGAATTGGCCAAGTGGCCCAAATTCCCTTGGAGTTAAGCAGCTCTGGGCTCTTGAGTGCATGTGGCTCTCGGGCCTTAGTGTTACCTCTTCTAGTATTATGGCTCAAAGAGGCTCCTAGCATTCCTTATCAGCGCCTCAGTAGCTGAGACTTGAGCCCCTTTGGCAGCTGTACCCTTTTCCTGAAAATAAGACCTAGCTGAAAAATAATCAGCCTTGAAAACTTGAGATCAGAAATGCAAAGCCCCAGTCAGCCTGTCCTTGCCTTACCTGCCGTCATTATTCTCTTGCTCGGTGGTCACTCTGCAGGGCTGATTACTTTCTGACTAGGTCTTATATTCGGGAAAACATGCCTACAAATATTGCCTCACTAGAACTCTGTGTAGGTCATCACAGGTCTGTTGGACTCCTCTAGTCTCTGTAGTGGGTCACCCCCAGTCTCTGCCAGTTGCTGCAGGTCTCCATTGGTCTGTGGAAGTCTTCAGGGCTAGTAACCTCTAGTGTTGCCAGCTCTTTTTAGCACAATCCTCTTAGCCTACTCTCCCCAAGATAAGAATCATAACCAGGTAATGAGACCACTTGGTGGAGGCTTTATTGAGACCTTGCTGTAGCTCAGAGGGGTAGTGTGTTTAGGACAGCTGTAGCTGTCATGGTGGCAGCTTGGAGGCACTGTGGGAGAAACAGCTGCTTGATTGACAGCTCCCTTCTGTCTGTCGTTTCAGTGAAAATGGGAGACTGAAGTCCCATTACAACTACCTTTGAGGAGACTTTATGAGGGCCAGCAGTCTTGATTGTGGTCCCTTAAGGTTTGAGGATTTCAGAGATATCAACTGTGGGTCTGCTCCCTCCCTAATCCTTGCTGTGAGACACAGTTTTCCACCCTTCCTCAGAGGAAGCAGCAGAGCCTGGAGCGGGCTCAAGTAAGAAAGGGGCTTGAGCTGACAGGCCGGCAGAGGCTCCTGTCAGTGTGGAAGTAAAGCAGAGGTGATGGGAACATACCGGGGTTGTTTGGCCCAGGCCACTCTGAGGATGCCAGTCAGATCATACTTCTTCCTGGCTGTC